TTAATAGAAGTTTGAGAATTCAAATTCTGTTTACATTTAGCTGGAGAATTGAAGTTTGAAGACTTAGATAGTTAAGAGTTTCTTCTTTTTAAGCTTGCAGTTGTGAGTTTACTGACTTAACTATTCTCTTCAGTTCTAGATTTACTCTGAGCTTCATCTTTTCTCCAGTTCTTTTGAGTTCTTGGAGCAAACATACATTCTTTTGAGCTAGATGCATGTTTTTCTTTGCAATTAGAGCATTTAAGCTCAGATGGCTCAAAAAATGAGAATTTGAATAGATTAGGCGCAGGCATTGCTTATACTGAAGATAATATCAATTTTATCTCAGATTTCTGAAATCTAGGCTGTGAATCTGAAGTCTTTGATGCTGAACTATTTGCAATAGTGAAAGCTTTCAAACTCATTGAAATAAAATCTCATAAAAGAGGAAATTGTTTGAAAGAGGCATGGATATTCTCTGATAGTCAAGCTGCTTTAAAAAGACTTAGAAATAGTCAGATTCATAATGGTCAAATGAATCTTGAACTGATCTTAAACTCTGTTTTGAAAATTCAAAAGAGAAGAACATCAAAGCTGATAATTCATCTACACTGGGTTCCTGCTCATATGAATATTCATGGCAATGAATTGGCTGATTCAGCTGCAAAAAAGGGTGCAGAATTAAGCAGATCTATTCAAAAAATTGTGTCCTGGTCTTTTATAAAGAGAAAAATAAAAGAATCTTGTTTAGACAAGTGAAATGAAAGCTGGCAGAAACAAAAGAAGAGTATACATTATTCAAGATTTGAAACAAAACCCAAGTGGAAATCTTGTTCAATTAAATGTAAAAAGAAAATATTCTCATCTATAATACAGCTGAAACTAGGACATGGCTATTTCAAATCTTATATACAAAGATTTGATGATAGATTTGACTCAATAGAATGCTCATTCTGCAATACAAATGAGAATCCTGAGTATATTGTAATGCACTGTGCATTATACAATAGTCTCAGAGCCAGATTGAAAGAGAAGTATGATCTAAATCAATTAAATATGAGATTCTTATTCTCAACTGAGACAGGAATTAAATACTTAATAGACTTTCTATCAGAAACTCAAGCAGCTACAAGAAAATGGCTAAATTCAGAATTATCTGAATATGAAGAGGAGGAAATCAACCAGATATAGTCTGTTAAAACAGCTATATACTATCTTTTAATAATTTGTTTTGTTACAGTCTTTCTTTACTTTATCTTTTCCTTTCAATTCCTTTCTATCTATCTATTTAATGTGTCTATCTTTAAGACTGTGTTCTCTTTTCCTTTGTCATGATATTGTCAAATGGTTTCAAAGTATCAGAAGATGTTAAAACACTGCAATTTGTAAATGGTTTTTGTATTCTGAGCTGAAATTTTCTGATTTTACATATCTGAAATTGATGAATGTATAATAGTTAACTTTACAGATATAGGAAAAACCCTGAGAACTAAAAGTTCTCAGGTAGATGTCATAGTCTCTGACTGCATACATCTATAATTGAAGAATAATAATAATAATAATAGAGCATTTAAGCAGAGTGTGTTGACATATTTCATCTCTTTTTGAGCATGTTTCACATTTATGCTCACTAGTTTTGTGATCTCTGACACAGAATGCATATTTTGAGTCTCTGAAACAGAAGATTGCAAAGTGTTCATATCTTTGACAGTTTGAACACTGTGTTTGAGCTTTGAGATTCATTCTTGAGTCTTTATATTCATGAACTCTCATTTTCAAACCTGCTACTCTTACTTCAGAGATCTTTAACTGTTCAATTATTTTTATATATACTAGAACAGAGACATTTCTTCTGCTTTGTCTGAACTTAATTGAATTTAGTTATACAGACTCTTTTCTCAGTTGAATAGAGTTGTATTCTTCTAATTCATTTTTGAGAAGTAGTATTTCTTCTTCACAGTCAAAAATTTCAACTGAAATATTATGAAGAATGAATTTGTCTCACTTTTCATCTCTCTCAGATAGAATTGTTGTGTTTAACAAAGATTCTACTACTGATTTTCAGAGATTCTCATTCTGAATAAGGAATTCTGCACTGAATTCAGGCATTGTGATCAGAATGATGAAGTTTTTAAAGAAGAATGACTTAATTAAAGCTATAACTGATTTTTGAACTTCAATATCAGTTATTAACTGAGAAAAGAACTGCTGATTGATTTCATTTCTAATTCTGAAAATGAGATTTGAGTTTAGCTTATTTCTCTGCAATATATCCTGATTTGAGACTTTGAGAATAAGTCTTCTATTTCTGAAGATTTGAAGATTTTTCTCTTTTTGTATTTTTTTCTTCACTCTTCTATCACTAGAAGTATGAGCAGTATTCTTCTCAGTTTTCTCAGAATTTTGAGCAGATTTTGAGATAGCAGATTTAGAGACAGCAGGTTTAGAGATAGTAGATTCAGCTGCTTGAGTATATATTTTCTTCTAATTTAGAGAAGAAGAAGAAGAAGAAGAAGAAAAGAAAGAAGAGCAAACTGAAGAGTCAGTGATTATATTAGAAATTTTCAAAGTTTTTTAAACTGTATTTGAAATTCTAAGTTTGAACTTGATCACTTTCTGTAGTTATCTAGTCTGAGTATGAAGAATTAACAGAACTTCTTCATTCATCTCACTCAGACATTGCTTTTCAAGAATTTTACTTACTTTTTCAAGTTTCTGTATTTCAAGAACTTGTTATTTCTCTATTTCTTCTTTCTTTCTTCTCTTCAGAATTTCAATCTCAGAAATAGTATTTGAGAAAGCATCTTTTTCCATATCAACTGAGTGTACTTTTGAACTCATTGTTCTTACTCAATGAAAAGTTAATCAGACTAATTTAATTGAGATATTTATTAAACTCTTTTGAATTGAAAAGTTGATCAGACTGTTTCAATTAAGAGATTTCTAAGTTTATTTTCAATTGAAAAGTTGATCAGACTATTTCAAAAGAAGAATAACAGACTTTTATGTATAAAATACCTGATTTTTTTCACACTAGTTCAGTAACTAGATTAGATTTTTGAAGAGAATCTAATAAACTAAAATTGATTTTTAAGATAAATTAATAAAATCTTTATAATCTCTTTCTTGAAATATAGTAAGAAAAAGTATGATATCAATTAATAGTAAATCAGATAATATGACAGTTTTTAAGAGAAAAACTGACAAAAAATAAATTAATTTTTTACAGAGAAATTGATTAAAACTATTCAATTTTATTCTAAATTATTCAATTCTTCTCACACAACAAGTGTGCAACTCAAATCAGTTAATAAAGAGTATAAAAAAGAATTAAGTATTAATGAAAGCTCTTCAGTCACTGAAAAAGTAATTCTTACTTAAAAGAATATGAAATTATAACAGAAAATAACTCTGTTTTTAATTCTTTATAAGAATATTGTATAAAACTCAGAGAAAAACATCTTACTTTTTTAAGAGAAGTAAATAACTATTTCTAAAATCTTTTTTTTTTTGCATTAACTGCTGCAGAAGAATGAGATAGAAACTGCTAAGATATATACTACTATATACTCTCTATCAAGACTTTCTCTCTTCAGAGTCTTGATATTATAGAGAATATAAGTCTGTTTCTATATAATAATGTAAATATTATCAGTGAGATGTAGAGAAACTGATTATTTATATCTTAAAATAGAAGACTTTATCAATGATTATATCAATATAGAGTTAATTCTCAAATTCAATAGAAATCTAGTATTGCTGTTCTCAATCTCTTGCAGAATCTATTGAATATTGAGATATTAAAACTAGATTTAATATATCTCACTGTGCAGGGATCAAAGACTCAGTCAGACCTTGAGATATACTGATTTTATAGTTATTATATCTGCTGATTATGTATTGAGTACAGTTACTGAGGTATCTTTTTGTACTTTTCTATCAGAGATGAGCCAGATTGAGAGAGATGGTACAAGGGTGAGACTTGGTGTTGATGTTTAAATACACTGAAGACAGATCACAGAGATTGCACTTCAGAAGTAGCTGTTGATTATATACTTGATATTATCACTGAGATATCTTTTTGTATTTTTCTGCTGGGGATGGGCCAGATTAGGAAGGGTGGTATGAGGGTGGGACTTGGCATTGATGTTTTGGAACATCAAAGATGGACAGGGTTTTCACAGAGGTCACTTCTCAGATATCTCCACAACTACAGATCAGGGATCTTCCAAAATCAAGAAGATTGATGCATATGGCTAGGTCTCTTCACCTTACAATTTGTATGGCCCTTTGGCCCGGGGTTGTGGTGTGGTAGGGGAGAACAGGGGATAATCCCACACAGGGGTTTCGAACAACGTCCGGTTCATGTTTGGCTGGATAACTCCACCACCACACAGGGTATGCAGTCAGCAATGGGGTCAGAATGCTCGTATGATCGAGGGCTTTTCGATGGATCTATCGGCGGGTTCTTATTCGAAAAATCGAGCGAGTTCATGGTGGAGCGGTTGACTTCTATATCACGGATAGTCAAGCTTACTTATACAGCTTTTCAAACAACTATCTCTATATAATATCACTGACTAGTCACTGCTTCAGTTCTGTTATATTACAGAATAGAAATATCATCTCAAAGTTAATCAGTGTGTTTTTAAATACAGGAATTTTAATTCAATGTCTTATATAAAAAAAAGCTCTTAGAAATTCTGAGATTAAAAAATATGATTATTTTTAAGAGTATATATCTATCTTAAATATAGATTTTTTTAAAATATTAAATAAATATTTCTATTCTTCTTCTCTTTAGCTATAAACTAAGGTGATTTTCAAATCTCAAAGATATATGAGTATATAGTAATAGAAAGTCAAAGTTAAAGAATCTGAAAAATTCTTATAAATCTTGAGAATCTTCATTGAAGATGAAACTGTTTCTTCTCAGACTCTCTGATGAGGATTGCTCTGAGCACATGACTTGTATCAAAAGTAGGTTAGTGTCATGCCGGATTAGTTAATAATAATGCTGCAACCCGTTCAAACCGAGCCAGAGGGTCTGAGCCCGCTGAGATAAGTTTTAAGCCCAAGGCCCTAGCAAATCACGTGCCCACCCCTCACAACCTTGCCAGCTCAAACCGAGTTAACTCACGCAGATTTGACCAACGGAGCAATCATTTCAGCCGACATCACAAGTTGCCTTTTTACTCCTATCCATGGGTATTGTAGTAACTTAAATTGCAGAGGAGATTTAGTTAGGTCTGGCCGCGTGTTTCCTAGAAGTTGGAGCTGGTGCAGAAGCTCGGACCAACAGCCTCCAACGCCGGCCAATCGGACAGATATAGCCATATCGCGCATCGCCATCTGCCCTGCCCAGTTCAACCAACCTCTCCCCCGCGGACGCTGTGAGAAACTACAAACAGTTGTAATTTCCAGTATTTTGCACCAATGGTTTAAATTTCTGTATCATTTTCAGAGACAATGGTGCTAGCTCTGCGATCTCTCTTAGTTTCGCTACTCTCCATAGCGCCTCTCGCGGTTGCGGACAAGGGCTCGCTAGCTCCCAACGACGATGTCTCGATATTGGCAGATGAGGTACGGAGAGCCTCCAATGAATCGCTATTATGGGGCCCGTATAGGCCAAATTTATATTTTGGTGTCCGCCCGCGGATTCCCAAGAGTTTGCTTATGGGCTTAATGTGGGCGCAGATGGACGACTATAAGCCTGTACAGCACAGTAGGTAGACCCGAATTGCGAGGGAAACCCCCTAAATTGCTTGTGCCGTACTAACTTTTCCTTAAGAGCTTAGGCATACATGCGAACAAAATGAGGGCATGGCCGGTTATGGGTGGGATGAGTACGATATCCGCAAGGGAGGCAGGCAGACGATCCACGATGCGGGGAACACAATAGACCTCACGATCGATTTTATAAAGGTTCCGGGCGGAAGCAATGGAGGGAATTGGGGTGCACGTATCAAGGGTACTCCTCGCCCGGATGCGTCCCCTGACCAAGCAACAACGATGATCTTTTACGCCGCGCTTGAAGGCCTGGGGAGTTTGCAATTCGCTAACGAGGCTGATGCTCTGGGATACAAGGGGGACGTGAAATTTACAGGATCTATGGTCAGTCTTGGTAATTTTACTCTAGACATTACCCGGGGCCCGGAGAGTAATGAGTACCCTCCCCGAAGCCATTCGGTGTATGACGACAAGCCATTGGATAGGACGAGGGTTGTAGGACTCCAGGTGCACCCGGACTTACTCTGGCAATCAAAAGGTATGACTGATACTTTATATTTTATAAACGAATTGAGGAATAGATCTTGTTCGCGCTGACGTTAATGCTGGTGTCTGAAGCGCTTCTTTTTGCCCATTTGAAGGAACAGGTTGAAGCCACTTTGAGAGAACAAGGGACGGATAATCCTCCTCCGCCTGCGCAACTTTTTACTATCGCGAATAAGCCCGATGTTGGGAATATTCATTTCGTGCAAAAGGTCTTCCAGGGCCAATTTGAGGTATGTAGTTTATAACGCTACACACCCTGAACCCCCCCCCCCAGCTGACTGTGGAAATGGAAAGTTCGACGTTCTTTTCTCGTCTGGCTCGTCGCCGGAACCTTTGACTTGTAGGTTGAACCCATTTTAGCCACATTACAAATGGAGAGAATATAAACTATTGTCTAATACCTCACAGCAACATCACTTACCGAAGAGATTAAAACCGCTTCAGCCATGTTCTCTGAAAAGTTCAAGAAGATATTTTCTCCCGTAGCCCCCTTTAACGTGCCAAAATACATGGAGTTTTCGAAAGCCATGTTTTCGAACTTGGTTGGCGGTATCGGATATTTCTACGGTGATTCAGTTGTCGACCAATCCAATGCACCGGAATACGAAGAGGAAAATGAAGGGTTTTGGGAAGAGACAGAACAAGCACGAGCCCGGGCAGAGCCAAGCCTAGTTGGCCCTTCGGAGTTGTTTACAAGTATCCCGTCCCGGCCATTCTTCCCTCGTGGCTTCCTCTGGGATGAAGGATTCCACTTGATCCCTATTATTGATTGGGACCTCGACTTGACGTACGTTTTAATTGAACCGGATTTTGATGGCAATTGCTAATAGGTGGTAGTTTGGAAATAACGAAGAGCTGGTTCAATCTCATGGATGAGGATGGGTGGATTGCACGCGAACAGATCTTAGGCTCCGAAGCCCGTAGCAAGGTGCCTCAGGAATTTCAGGTTCAATATCCACATTATGCAAATCCTCCAACATTATTCATGATTATCGAGGCATTTGTGGAGAGAATCCCATTAAATAAGCATGGCGACCGGAAACAAGCTGAGGCACACGGTTTACCCTCCGATATCCGCTCGGAATATTTGGAACACCCGGAGCTTGCTATTTCGTATCTTCGCTCTATCTACCCTCTACTTAAACGCCAGTATTTCTGGTTTAAGAAAACACAGTGGGGTGACATTAAATCGTATGATCGGGAAGCTTTCTCTACGAAGGAATCCTACAGGTGGCGAGGACGATCTGTGCAGCACATTCTAACATCCGGACTTGATGATTACCCGAGACCTCAGCCTCCCCACCCTGGCGAACTCCATGTAGATTTGATTAGCTGGATGGGAATGATGACCCGTGCGATTCGGCGTATTGCTGAAGCCTTGGATGAAACCGACGACGTGCAAGAATTTAAGGAATATGAGACTGCGATCACTCGGAATATCGATGATCTCCATTGGGACAAAGATGCTCAAACTTATTGCGATGCGACCATTGATGAGTTTGAGGAGCATGTGCATGTCTGTCACAAGGGATATGTATCTCTTTTCCCATTTATGACGGGCTTGGTACCCGCTGATAGCCCGCGGCTGGGTCCTATTTTGGATCTTATCCAGGATCCAGAGGAGCTGTGGAGTGACTACGGTATTCGTAGTCTGAGCAAAAAAGATGAGTTTTATGGAATAGGAGAGAATTATTGGAGGAGTCCCATCTGGATTAACATTAATTACTTGATTCTCAAGAACCTCCTTGTAAGTCGAAATCGGATCTGGGAGTTCTATTATGACTGAAGCTCTCTGCAAGAGCACACTACTAACCTTCTTGGGAAAACAGGATGTCGCCACGGTTTCTGGTCCACATCAAGAACAAGCACGCCAGATGTATACCCAACTCCGCAAGAACATTGTCGACAATGTGTTTAATCAATGGAAAAAGACTGGTTTTGCATGGGAGCAGTATAATCCCGAGACCGGCGCTGGTCAACGAACACAGCATTTCACCGGATGGACGAGTTTAGTGGTCAAGATGATGGTCATGCCAGATTTGAGCACAGACCAGAAGACCCGCCATGAGGAATTGTAAGAGGATCATCTAAAAAGGGTATTTTATTTATAGATATAGAACGGTTCGTGGTTTTTTGGTGGGATAATACCCATCATATAAAGGTTATGGCAAGATGAATGTAACATATGTTAAATCTTGTAAAAGACACCAGCGCCGAACTCCTGCCACCCGTGTATTTCCAAAGGCCATCATTATCTCATTAATAAGTGTGGCTTTTTTTTTTTATCTCCTTCGATCATAGTCATTTTTTCGCCTGGAACGTTGATCATGATGGCTACGACGCTCAGCGGGAGAATAACTCCGCTCACGACGGGGATATTTCTCCTCTCGCATTCTCCCTCGCCTTCGATCTCGACTCCGCGATCTAGATGATCGTCGATATCTTGTATAAGAGGCCCTATCTCCCGACCTCGAACGATGCCTCCGCATCTCAGCCGATATAGAGCGGCGCCTCTGTACTACCCCGTGATCGCTATCGGGAGATCGAGAGCGGCGTCTCCGTCTTCCATGGCGCTCATCATCTTTTTCATGTCTCCTACTCCTTCTATCTCGTTCTCCTCGATCTGGATCCCTACTCGCACCTCTCCTTCGACGATCGCCACCCCCATCGCGCCCACTTCGGGTCCGGTCCCCTCGCCTGCCACGCCGCTCCATCCCATTATCCGGGCCAACCATTTCATACCCCGTCCCTTCCATCATATCTTCCTGATCTCCAGCCTTCATCCCGCCCATCCCCCCAAAACCCCCAAAACCCCCAAACCCAACGCCCCTGGGGCGGTCATCATTCTCCGCTCCCCCGTCCGCCGCACTTGCCTCCTGAATAGCCCGCTCTACCTCTTTTCCACCCAGTGGCGTCATATTTGCATTTTGAGAGCTTTTGGGGGCGACGGGTAAACCTAACGCACGCGCCAGCGCCTCCTGCTCAGCTTCCTTAATGCGTTTAATCTCCTCCTCTCGCTCAGTGCGTCGTTTCGCCGCGGCTTCTTCTGGGGAGTCTTCGGGGTCGTTGTCTCCCTTGGCATACCAGGACAGATCTCGATTTTGCTGCCATCGACCGACGGGAGCCATCAGGGAGTGGCCAAGGTAGTTTTCGCGGTGGGTGGAGGTTTTGACATCGGACCATTTGAAGGAGTCGCGGCCGCCACTGTTAGAGCTCAGTTAGGTTTGGGTTTTGGTTCTGTAATCTCTTGAGGGTAACTTCTTTTCAACTGGGGTAAACACGCGTGGGAGTACTTACCGGCTGCCTTCCTTTCGAATACTTGCCACGAGATCCATGATTACTGGAGGCTGGAGGTGGGTGTATATTGGGGTATCTGTATCAAGCTTCAAGGATTGCTTGAGCTGAAATTGATCGCCGCGAGAGTCATGTGACTTAGTCGAAAGGCGCACGGACTTGATCTGTCAGTTCCGAGGTAAAGGTTGTACTAACCTAATAAGGATTAGTGTGTATTAGCTATGACCTCACCTGTTCGACTTCGAAATCATTTCTGTACGGAAAGGCGATACGGGACCAGAAATCGTGATGCGGTGTTGCCATGGGGTTTGTTTAACTCTTTCACATCCTCCATGTGATATATGATCGCAAATTCATAGGGATAGCTTCGACTCCCCCCCCGCTGCGGCCTAGTTTTGCCAACCATTCCCTAGGGGGCTGGTTGAAATGAACATCTCCATTTATTTCCCGCATCTCCCTATCTTTTATACCTAGTTGGCTGCTTAAGTTTAGAGCAGCGGGTACGTATAATTTGGATTGATGTCGAAGTGATCTTTTGAATTTCCTACTACAAGAGTTGGTGGTTTCATGGTGGGGAGACAATCGAGACCAGGGGCGGGAAGCCCGCTTGGTCGCCTCCCGGTTGAAGAGCGTGACGAAACGATTCGAGTAAAGGAGAATGGAGTTGAGATAGGCAGGGAATATGTATGACACCGTTTGTGATATACCAGTAGTAGACTGGTAGCCCTTCGAGAAGATGGATCTAGGCTAATCGCATGGCAGTTTCCACGGTATGTCCACGGCGTCCAAGCAATACATGGTAGACTGAGCGCTCACCCTACTAATGAATATACCCAAGAGGATACGATGCATCTCATCCCAGGCCTGCTTACTGGCGGAATAATTTGGTATGGTGCCTTGTTGCCGCTCTCCCGTCCCTTGACCGCACATCAGCTGACAGAACTGGTTCCAGACCGCTTTATCACAGCACCGCAACCTTTATTTTGTAGCTTTTGAACATCAGATCTACGTATACCAACCTTCTGGTCGCGGACGGGCGCTTGCACCGAATCCAGCAATGATAATAACCCCAGTTCCAAAAAATCCTCGTGCGCCCGGTTACATCACACGGCATAAGCCACATGTTATAAACGCAATTCGTGTCGAGGATCTCGGCCATGAAGAGATATTACTTCTTGCTACTGATTCCGGTAATGTTGCAGCCTATCGGACTGAGCGTATATTTGCGGTCATCGAGGAAGCTAAGGTGACTGGGAATGGCAAGCCGACCGAACTTGGGGAACTTGTCGACTGCTTTTTTAGTGACTGGGTAGGCCAAAGTGCCTGGGGCCTTGCGGTCCACAAGACTGCCAGAATGATTGCAGTAAGCTCCAATTCGTGGTGTATTACTGTTTTCGCCTTTGCCTTGGTGGATCATGCATCCGTTGCGGGCGACGCTACAAAGAGTTCGAAGCCTACCCATTCATCTGATACAGCTAGCCGGGCTTTAGAGTGGACGAATGTGAGCTCTGAGTCACAGTATCGCGTACTCCGGCGGATAAGTCCAGACAAACGTCGAGTCTGCAACATTCGGTTCACTTTAGTTGGCCACAAAAAGAATATTCCAAACATTGCCTTCCTGAACTGCTATCTGGATCCCGAAGGCGATTGGTTGATTAGCACTGATATCGGTAACAAGCTTATGATGTTCAATATCTGGGAATATCCGACTCCGGTGAAAATCATCGATGTTCAGCAGGACCCACCCAATCATCCGGGTCGGGCGCAAGACAAGTAAGTTTTTTAAACTACTTCCCCTCAAGGCAAAGTCTCTAACCCACCTGACTTTAGCCACCAATTGGGCTGGAACGTTTTAGCTCTCGATCCAGGAAGTTTTAGACCCAAAGCGACCCTGAACGACGCCTGTGGTGGCACTCCACGCAGACATCCCCATAATGAAGACGTTTACGACTTGAGTGCCCTTGCTCAATACACGCGATCTAAGTATACCCGAGAGGACTCACCACATTTGGATGCCGTTGCTCATGAGTCAGATGATACATCAGACGAGACATTTTCACTGGGATCTGATATCCCCTCTCCACCAGACTCACCCATGGGCACCGGGGAGTCGAGGCTTGATCGTTCCTCACCGCCCTGTCCGGTATTTAAGGAAGAAGGGAGTGAAAATGAGAGTGACCAGAAGGAGTTCGGAAATCTTGAGAGAGAGGAAAATATGGATTTAGATGGAAGCACCGAGCATATTCCTTCAAATAGTGACCCTAATCCCCTCCTAGTTACATGGCCTTCGCTTCAGGGTGATCCACCAGGTCTAACAGCCGACACTGAGCTCGTTGACGATCTCCTTCTTTCTGCAATTGACACCGCACAAGATATGCCTAGCAATGACGATGATCATGACGCCCAAGAGGGTGACGCCGACGATGATTATGAACTTATGGATGGTCACTGGGATGTAGGAGAAGAGGAAGAAGTAGGAGAAGAAGAGGAAGAGGACGGTGAGGATGACAATCAAGCCGGCGAAGTAGAGAATAACTACGAATACGCCGCCTTCCAATACGGAGGAAGCAATGGCGACAATTCTCTCCTAGAAAGCCTTCAGCAACATAGCCAAGGTTGCAACTCTTTCGATGAAATCTTCCCCGATATTTCAAGTTGGCTTTCCAGTGCCGAAGATCCAGAAAGCACAAAACCCCCATTTGCAGACTTCCCCATTCTCCACTTCACTCAAAACTCTATCCGCATGTTCCCCCATCCATTTGTCAAAAAGTCTTCCATTATCCTCCGTGACGCTCTGGTCCAAGATCTGCATGATGTTCCTCCAAATCTCGAAATGGTCGAGCGGTTCAACATAGTAAACCAGATCCCAGAGCTTGGCATCGTCCTGGCAGCTTCACAAAAGGGGCGTGTCGGAATATTCTCTCTGACCGAACATCCTGATGGCATGGCGTTTAGGCTGGACCATATCATTCCATCCGAAAATCAGGAACGACTGGGTGACCGACCGTTAGTTCAAATTGCGGGAATGGCAGTCGGTCCAGTGGAAAACCACCTCATCCCGCTCGACGAAATCAACTCCTCCTCTGCGTCTTCCCAAATAGCAGAAGGCAACCATGCCACTGCTACTGCACCTACATACTCTCATCGTCCACACCACAGCCATAGTACGAGAAGACCTACGGGGAAAACTCGATCAGGAGCGGAGGTGGAAATTAGCCCTGCAACCCCTGACCACCACGAGCTATCCGAGGACCCCTCACCAGCCCGCCAAGAGCAATGGCACGGCATCGACTTCTCACGTCGCTACCGCCTCCTAATAATGTACGCAAATTTAACCATAATGCACTATGAGCTCTTCTATGACTGGCCTATAGACATGATGGGGCCTCACGGCCGGCTCCTGCGTGAGGTTAGTAAGGGGTCGCTGCTGAGGCCGTGAATGGAAAAAAAAAAAAAAAAAAAAAAAAAAAAAAAAAAAAAAACCGAATTATGTGATGCCTGTCTCTTGAGTGATGCAACTTTTACCCCCTTTTTTGGTAATCCTTCTCGGCTCTATCCTTTCTCATCCTGCTCATATTCGATATGGGGCTTTAATTGTTATTGTGTTACCTGCCCGGAGCGGTATGTAGTTTGTTCAGGCTTTTTCCTGAGTTATTTACCTCAATTACTTTCATCCCTAGCGAATTGAGGTTTCTGAATTGTTTCCCGCTATTTATGGGGGCACTGCCTCCATTGCGAGGCAGGGTCATTGAACTTGCCGGTATAGAATGCGTCCTGTTAAGCCGTATGTGTTTTTCAAATGCCCTCTCTAAAGCACTTTCTAAATCTATCTATGGCCTCCCCACTCACTCCGAACTGGATAAGTATCCACGCAACCATTTGGCTGCAATTAACGTGGAGAATGAGCAGAGAGCGAATTTACCTCCTGGCGCACACACACGCGCTGTACAATATGATTTAACTATTTGATAACATCCAACGACGTATCTCAGACTTTATAATTTAAACCTACGTGGAGAATAAAGGAAGCATGTAAAAAGGTGTTAATATCACTAGGAGGGAATGCATATGTGAGATAGGGCAATGTATCGTGGTTACTGGCCCCCTCTATAGATATTACAATTATATACGTGTACGAGATTATAGAGTGTGTATTGATCGGCTTAACAATGTGGGTGTGCTTTTTACCGATTACGGGATAAAATGGCAGATATCTAACATTCCAACAATGGGGAACAAAGAGGTGCGTAAAACATTTTATTTGTGGGATGTTGGGGGTATATAGTGCAGTACATATGGATGTGAAGGGGGAAAGGAAGAATGTCCTGTCCTAGAGGTATAAGATATACATGGGGAATATGGGACAATTCGTAAGAGGTATATTTTTCAGGTTGAATCAAATCGGCATGCAAACGTGCCACATCATTGCCAAAGAATAACAAAGAAGTAGTAGAAGAGAAACGTGAGGAAGATAAATAAAACACAATATACACACTCCAAGACCCTTCTCCGTAGGCTGGAAAAAAACTAAATGTGTAGCAGAAAGATAAAAGAGGTTGGAAAAAAATATTTTGTATATATTGTATATGTCCAAACACACGCTGCCGTAGGCGTGTACGCGAAACACGAACTCTTTAATTGTACGGAGTAGTAGTTGTTGACGTGACGTATCGTATCAAAAATCTTCCAGCTCATCGCTGTCCCATTCATCTTCTTGGTCATTCTGTACCAGCTCCAAAAACCGCTGTAATCCAGCCATCTGTCTCGGGGGCGCGGGTGCATTTGGCGGGTTACGTTGCAGACCTCGCATCTCGGCCATTGCTTGAACCTGCAACTGTCGCTCCGCGGCCGCAGCACGGGCTGCATCGTTTGCACGACGGCCATTTTGTTGGTTGACATTGGCGCCAGGGGGCACTGGTGCGGGAGGTGGCGCTCGAAATCGTGCTGCGTTTGGAGGAGCCGGTGCTGGGGGAGGTGGAGGATGTCGTTGGTGTTGTTGATTTAGGTTTCGCGCGCGGTTGTTCGCTCCCTGTCCGTGGTTATTGTTGTTGGCGGTTTCGGCGGCGATTTCCCGCTCAAGGTCTTCGGCGTCATCGTCCTCACTGTCCATCTCAGCTAGTATTTGTGCAGCAGCATCATCCCAATTCGGTCCACCAGGACCGGAATCGTGACCTTCCTCCAATTCCCAAAGACGCATGTAGCAACTGCTGTTTGGATCGTTGAAGTGGCTGTACGGGTTGGATTCGAAGAGCCAGCTTGAACATAGGTAACAGAAGTGGGTGTTGCATTTGAAACAGATCATGTGGTTGCAACCCATTGCTTTCTGGCAGCGAGTATCGCATGTTGGGCATGGTGCTGTGTACATCTTGATGTATTCTTCGCTGGCCTTCTCCGCTGCCGATAATTCAGCCGCTCTTCGAGGATAGCAGAATGCCAGCTCGCCATGCCAGCCCTTTTTGCAGACGCAGCAGAATGCGTAGCTGCAATCCTCACATACTGAGAGACGTTCTGACTTTGGTGGAAGCTGATCTTCTGTCCCAAGGGGATCAAATGGGGTGCGCGAGGTTTCGTCGTCCTCATCGTCTGACAATTCCATCTCCTCGTTGATCGCATCCGTGGTCTTCGGATGTCGTTTTGAGCGAGCAGCACCCTGGCACCATTGGCGAGGACAATAAACAGTTGTTCTATCCGCCTCCAGTTTCCGCTTCCTTTTGAAGTGGACGTAGCGCTGGACAACTTCCTGGTCGAGTGGAATTTGCAAAAGCTCACTTGGATTAAGGGATCGATCCTTTTTCTTTCGGCGCTCAGGAGTCAGGTGTCCTCGCTGTCCGTCTTGTGGTCCATTTCCTGAATCTCTCCCGCAGTTCGGGGACAAACACTTCACCTTGTCAACATCTCCTTCTTTTATGCAAGTGTTATAAAACCCTTGAAGACAATTTATGCAGAAAACATGGGAACAGAGCAACATTCTATGGCAACTTGCCCCCTTCTTAGGTTCCAGACAAACACCGCACTCGAAAGTCTCCTGTTCAAACTTCTGTCGCTGAGCTTGCATATTAAAATCCATAAGTGCAACTTTTAAATCTCGCGATAGGGTAAGGGGCGATTCGGGATCTGACGAAAGATCGAATGACCGCTCCCCTAGTTGTTGTAGATGATCGATATATGTAAATATAACCACATCCTTCCCGCATTCCTCCCATAATCTCTTGCCATCAGTTACTAGTTCAGCGATCTTTGATGGCGGTAACCAATCTGGATTTGTCGTGATAGAAAAGTGAGGAGGTGCAAGGGAGGGATATCCATCGGGAACATCAATTTCCAGCCTGAGAGGCGGAAGATATGAGAGGTAACATGGCACTACCTCTTCTGCATCTACATGCAAGGTGTTTCCATCCTCATGAGTGCTGAGAGATGCCGGCGGAGTTGGGAGTGATGATTGTGGTCGCTGGAATATGACCTTCAAGGGCTTGGTGGGAGAGACGGGAAGCTCAAGAAAAGCCTTGAATTTCGAATCGGGATCTATAACAATTTCGGGGTATATGGCGACAATGGACGACAGCTCAACGGCCCGTTCGTCCTCGCATAGGTCGTCCATTAGTTATTCTCGTGAATTTTTATCGGTTCTCCTTATCGCGTTTTCTATCGTCACAGAGGGGGGTTAGCGGGGTTCGCGGACACGGGCAGCTGCGTGTAAGTTAGTTAACTAGGCCGTTAGAATTCAAGGTTGACTCATTATTCTCTAGGCAGAAAATCAAAGCAGAGAGCAGAGAGCCATTTCAAAGAGATCCGCTGGGCAAAGGAAAAAAAAAAAAAGGCCTCCGTACCTTGACTGTAATCCCGTCATCTCGCCATTGCATTGCGGGGGGAGGTTTGGGACGGGACTTTCTGGGATGAATAAAATATCGGGAGGATGGGAGCACACGGATTTCTAGAGGCAACAGGCGTAAATAGATATAAATAAATACTTGAGGGATATTAGTTGCCTCTTCTATTCTAATATGCGGATTCCGTCAACAAAAAGAAAAAGAAAAATGAACAGCAAGTTGGGGATGGAGGAAGGGGGGAAGTTAAATATACTATTTTTTTGCCGCATATTTACTTCGATATTTAAATATAGTTAAATATTAAGTTAACTTATAAATGGGCGCTGAAGCAATGAACTTTCCTGCCCAACCTTAGTAAAAATAATAAGAATAAGGAATAAGGCATCACCACCACAACGCACGCAATTTAGTCCTTTGTTTTTTTCCCTTTTGCTAAAATATTTTATTCCTTGTCTTATCGTTTGCTTAAATATTTAACTATTTAGCCCGCACTACTACGTATATCATATCCATTTCGTAGCGACGTTTCGCCCTCGTACCACGCTCATCGCGCGTGAGAGGTCGTCTGGCCGAGCGAGGCCTCTTGAGGGTTCCTTTATTTAGCTATTTAAATAGTTGTCTGATGAATTTGGTCCATACTTACTTTGGTTTTGATCTTCTATTGCTCTAGCCTGCTTCTAGCTATTTAGACCTTTAACCATCGAGACATATCAATTTAATCAGCCCAAACATACATTGCCAATTCTAACCTGTCCGCGAGGCTTCAACTCGAGATGGCTGGGATGGATGTCCCTCTGGCATCTCTATCGCTAACTCATGTCCATTATGTGAGTGTTGTCCCTCCCCGTTCTTTTGACGCCGCATTCCATCCTCCCCACTCGGACACTAACATTCCTCCCGCGCGGATATCTCCTAGAACCCGGACGACCCCATATCCCTCGTTTCTGCTTTCCTAGCTCTAGTCCCGCAGGCAATATGCATCATTTATGTTACTCTTATCTGGGCGACGCGGGAGGTCGAAGTGCTGCTTATGTTCGCTGGTCAGATGCTATGTGAAGGGTTAAATTTCTTCTTGAAGCGGCTAATACGCGAGGAGAGACCAGTTCGTATGTTGTTATCTTCCCTGTAGTTAAATAATGGCTTCTTCGTTTTCTGTATGAACTCTACGAGAATAAAAAAAAAAAAAAAAAAAAAAAAAAAAGGCTAATTTGGCTCAATTGGAACCCAACAGAGATGTTCGGGAAGGGCTACGGCATGCCATCTTCCCACTCCCAATTCGTCGCTTTCTTCTCCCTCTCACTTACATTGTTCCTCCTCGTTCGACATGTCCCCGACCTTACTACCAACCATTCCGCATCTACGTTTATGCAACGGGCAGCGCTTTCAGCTCTAGCCTGTGTATGTGCTGGCGCAGTCGCTGCCAGCCGCGTATATCTCAATTACCACACGCCGAAGCAGGTTTTGGCGGGTTGCGCTGCGGGAGTGGTCTGTGGGATATCATGGTTTTTATTCTCTAGTTACCTGCGACGGGAAGGCTGGATTGATTGGGCTTTGGAAACGCAGCTAGCAAGAATGGCTAGAATGCGCGATTTGCTTATTCAAGAAGACCCCGTGGAGGCGGGTTGGCAACGGTGGATGGAAAGGAGTGTTGCATCTAAACGGACCTCCAAGGCTTCTGGTAAGCTTAATTGACAATTTCTCTGGTTGGCTGAGGTCTGACATTGGAGTTTTCTAATTTATTTGCGTATATACACATTGAGCTATTAGTATAATCATGCCTTGTTGAGCGTTGTCTGCGCATTGGTAGTAGGCGTATTGCATTTTCCGCCCTGTCCCATTTTTCTAGATCTGTGGACGTGTATCTGTACATATACATAGAGTAGTGTCCGAGCTGCATAAACCAATGCAACTCCTTCCATACAGTACCGAGCGATTGAACAATCCAATTTGTCCACGATTCTCCTTGAGAGCTGGTCGCAAGCGATCAATAACCATATCACGTGATATAACTATATCGGATTTTATTTCATCCGGATCCTGTGTGTTATCGTATCCCTTCAACATCTTGAAGAAGAGGAGGATATCTTGATATCAAACACAGCAGCAGTTCGGTGAATCCAAACTATGGGGAATTTGAATGCAACTCGCTATCTAAATACCCGTTGACCATGAAGGATTCTGCCTCAGAATCTCTGCGTTGTGGCTTCTTGCCCTTACTTTATACCCCATCTTTGGAGTGAGACCAAGCAGGACAGCTGGTGGCCACCACATATAACGTTCGAGTTTCTCCACTGTTTTGCGACTTATAAATACATATTCCATTCCAAGTTAGAATATCCGGTATTTGGCCCATTTTAGATACCCAACAGGCCATGGATTCTCCATCGAAGTCTCGGCGTTCCGACATACCGGAGCACCATATTGTCCACGCGGACGAGATTGACCAGTTGGGGACTGATATTTCCACAGTTCCCGATGATCAACTCATGCCGGAACTGGTTGAGGGTTTTAAAGCTGAACAAGCTCGCAAACCTGATCCCAACGACTTTCCTGGCCTTCCCCAACGCCATGGACGAGAACCGGCGCGCCGGGAACTGCGTAGGGATGCAAGTGCGGCCCCACCACCGCCCATGAAGCCGCCACCACCAGCGCCTGTGCACCAGAATATAGGGTCTCCAACGGATTCCTTGAGTCTAGCCCAGCTGCGGAAACTAGTCCACGAGATGCCCAGGCCTGACCAGCCTGCTTATGCATTTGAGTACGCTGACTGTCAGCCATTTCCGAAGGAGGTAGACGAGTGGTTCCAGTACAATGAGCCGGACCGTCTTATGCTGCTGGGGTCCAAGGCTTCCTTTGAACAGAACTGGTCGGAGTTTTACCAAAACCGTATGAGTCCCCCGGCGGTTTCTGAAGTTCCCTGGGTTGATGTTACCGAGGATATTCGTGCGAGCTTCGTTACCCGTATGATTGGGTCTCTCGATCATGCAGATTTGTTTATCCGTATTGAAGCTCTCGAGGTTGTTTGTTATCTTATAACGGGGGCTTGGGCTGTCACGGCTGGCAAAAGTTCAGAAGATCCTCCGGCTGGATTTTCAAAATTTGAATCATTGGAGGAGTGTCCAAAGTCAAGGTCGATGCAGATTAAATGGATGGTAAATAATATATTGCTTGTGCATCAGTGTGGTGGAATTCCTGTATTATTTCAGGCCATGAAACGGATTTTTGAGAAGGACCAGTCAGTGAATCCATCTACCAAAGATGCAATGTTTGTATTTGCGTCTTTGTTTTACTAATATGCGTATGCCAGGCCAATAACAAACGCGGATGCGAAATTTTTCGAGACGGAAAACGGAACGGCTGCGTATTATGCGGCTCGTGAGAGAGAAGCCAATCTCATTTTGACTGCTATGTACCTAGTCGTAGAGGTGGCTCGCATACAGGAGCAATCGAACCCGGATCAAGCTGGCTTGAAGAATGATATTGGTATGTTTTGATTACTATTCTTCCTCCAGAAGAATTAAGCTATAGCTGACTGTTCCCTCGAAAGCTGCGTTAAAACCGAATATCCTTGTTTTCCTCGTCGAAATTATTGCGCGATTGCGCTGGGAAGATGCAACCAGCATTCCATTAACTAGAGTAAGTTTAAATCCCATTTTCATCTAAAGTATGTCGTTCTTAAATGTTTCTAGGTTATCCTCCTGCTATGGAAATGCCTTCTACTATTATTCGGAGGGTCCGAGAGCTTAGCGCGAGTGAAAGCAGTTCTGGAGCCTAAGTATGGTGCCTTGGAAGATGCGTCGAAGTCTTCCAAGTTACCTGTTCTTACTGCTTCTCCCCTTGATTATCACATATTCCGACAAGAAATTACCTCCAAATACCCAGCATACAATCCTCCTCCTCCGCTAGTACCCTTTGAGCTGGAGAACAATTCTATACTTCCCCCTTTACCAAGCCATTCCAGCAGATATAATTCAGGATCAACATTATTTTCTGGCATTGGACCGGCCTCATTAAGCGGAAACGGGTCTATCCTCCACCAATCCGTGCACATTGCGACGCCCGCTCCATCACCTCCGCCATCACCCATGGGACCAGGAGGAAAAGGGGGTAAAAAACAAAATTATCAAACCAACCAACATTTCCCTTTCATGTATCCACCTCTTGACCAGACTAGCAACGATATTGGTGGAAAGGGAAGTAGTGAAGTTCAAGATAGAGTTGTGGGTAAGAAATGGGAAGGAAGTGATGTACCTGCCTCTATAATCGAAGCTGGCCAGTTGTTCTCCAGTCGAATGAAGATGACGAGAGCGATGCGCCAACTCTGGGAGGAACGAGAGAGATTCCTCAAATATGATAGAGGCTGGGATGCCACAGAATTCGATGATGATAAGCCGGCGACTGACTGGCTGGCTGATCTTGAGTCTGAATCGGAGGACAAGAAAGCTGAAAAGAAAAAACCTGACGTAGGTTTCCAACATGTGAAGGAATCCGATGACCCATACGTCCAGGAACGCTTAGATGCTGTCGAAGACTTCTATGTAAGTTAAACTTGTCCGTTCTGCCTCATGTATCCCTGACTGACGTCCGCTTTTACAGAGCCAAGCTTTTCCCAATCTACAATCCATAGTCATTGTCCTTTTGAAAGAGATTTTAATAAACATTACAGAAGCTGCGGCATTGCAGTCAAAAACAAACGGACCCAATGGCTTCAGACATGGGTGAGATCTCTTGGTTCCATAGAAAGTAGTGAATATCCGAAAAGCTAACACTATGTTCTTATTAGGCCCGCAAAAGCTTCTTTGTTCGATGATATGGCTGCGCCGAATTCAGCTTCCCAAGATATGGAACGGGGAGACGACAATCAATGCAGTGAAGAACTCGACGCCATCAGACACCGAGAAATAACTTCCGCTGCTATTTCAGGGTGCCTTTTAATCATGCTGAAATGGCTCAAGCGGTCGCGTATGTTCCAGTTCCAGCTCTGGATGTGGCTTTAGTCAGATATTTTGCTAACATAATTCCCAGATATACTAAAATTCGAATACATGACACAATTACTGCTCGATTCAAATTATCTTCCTCTTATATTGAAAATGTTCATCCATCAGGAGATCGATAGGGTTGTTGCGCAGCGAAATGATCGAGATGATCTGAGGTATGTTGCCAGAGCTGCACCTACAACAGTGATTGAGCTTAATTGCTAATTTGATTTAGCTTTTTCCACTTCTGCCACGTCCATTCTAACCAACCCCCGGAAATTGCAACCTCACCCGAACCGGAGGAACCCGATAGCGAGGATGATGCAGCCCCACCCCCTATTACTCGCAATGCCCGACCCCAGCAATCTGCACCAAACAGCTCCGCTCGCCCAGCATCACCACAAAAGTTGCAGTCCAATCCTCCCGACCACCCTCCACCCCTCCCCGAAGTCGATGAGTTAGGTTACCCCAGTGCACCCGCGCCCACAGGGCCGATCACCACCTACTCCTTCCGAAACTTCTTCTCGTCGATTAACTTCTTGCACATAATGCAAAAGATCACCCGGGACAAAGCTCACAGGTGCCTGCTACTCGTCCAGTACAAATCCAGCAACATCCTACGGAAGGGGATCAAAGTTCCCGATCCACGTCTTCGCCTTTACACGCTCAAGCTGGTGAAGTCGCAAGTCCCTTACTGCGGGCGGAAATGGCGCCAGAGCCACATGCGCGTCATCACGGCCATTTATCTATATTGCCGTCCGGAGCTGCGCGACGACTGGCTGGCTGGAAGTGATGTGGATGCCGAGGTTGAAGAGTCATTGCCCATGGAGCAAACGCTGCGCGGCCTCACGCACTGGTGGCACCTGCGCAAGTATAAAGATACAATGGCATTTGAAGACGGGAACACATTAATGGATGAAGAGCGAGATTTCTTCGTGCGAGAGCTCGAGAACATGGGGTGGGGGATGACCGGGGATGAGATGCTGAATGCGGCTAGTGAAGAAGGGGAGCCGATTCCGGGGCTGAATGGGGCTGAATGGGGAGATCCCGGGGCGATGCAACCGGAGAACTGGTGAATAAGAAAACAGCTGCCTCTTTTTTCTTTTTTCGTCCTTTTTTCCCTTATTAGACGCCTAGGCTATGCTTGTCTATACATGATTCCGTTTCGTGTTGTGATATTCGCGCGTTCAGTCCTTCTTTCATTTCATTGGACGGATTATGAATTATGGAAAAGGAATAGTATTTTTAGAGGCTGCAGCTTTCTTTCGTTCCTTGGTTGCTGTTTTATCTTTCATAACTTGCTTTCTCGTCTTCTTTTGTGCTTATTTCGCACGTTTGACTGATGGTCAGTTTGAATTTGATATCCAAGATGCTGAGAGGCTTGTTGCTGCTGCAGTTACTTCCAAAGGAGATGTATCACTCACTGCCTTTTCTTAGTCTCAACTTAATCTTACAGTTGTCAGAGAGGTATGTAGTTAAGCTCTAGTACCAACAAAACCCCGCAGCTCCCCGCATCATATCCTATCTAAATGAGCAACTTCGGCCTCATCCGCTTCATAATTCAACGCTTCGATTTCTGCATGCACATATGGGATCCCCTCTTCCCCCCTCCTCTGCGCAGTTAACAGCTCAATTTCACCCGGATAGTAAATCCTATCGACCCCTTCCATCTTCTCCCCGCCAACTACCCTCTGGTACAAGTAATCCATCCGCGCTTTGAACTCCTCCAAATCCATAAACAAGTCAGGTTTAATAGCCACAATGAAATGGCCCACATTAGCCTCTTTCGACGGATCATATGGGCCCGTAACATGTCCGGCAAACGACGAGCCGGACAAAACCCCAGAAAACACATCCATCATTATCGCTAGTGCCGATCCCTTCGGCCCACCCATCGGCAACATCACCCCCTTCAACGCTGCAGCAGGGTCCGTGGTCGGCGCACCATTTCCATCCAACGCCCAGCCCTCCGGAATCTGCTCTCCCCGCCTATGGGCTTTATAGATTTTGCCTCTGGCAGCAATCGAGGGGGCCATGTCAAGGATGAACGGTACCCCAGATTTACCGCCGGGTGCCCCACATGCAATCGGCGAGACACCCATTAGTTTCTCCCTGCCGCCCCACGCAGGCAGTGCTGGGGACGAATTCGTAAAGACCAGACTCATCATCTCCGCATCCACTGCCTGCCGGACAAACGAGGCTGACATGCCAAAGTGGTTCGAGTGCCTGACAGAGACCATGCCAATACCGTACTCTTTCGCCATGCCAATGGCATGGTCCATGGCGGTGTGTGCAGCGACGAAGCCAAAGCCGTTATGCCCATCTACTAGGGCGACGACTGGGGTTATCTGCTGCACGGAGGGGAGGGCGGCGGGGTCCAGAACACCCTGGCGGATTCGGGTTAGGTAGGAAGGGATGCGGTTTATGCCGTGGCTGTCGACGCCGCGTAGATCGGCTTCGACGAGGCATTTGGCGACTATGGCGGCGTTTTTGGGAGGGACGGCGTGTTTTTCAAGGAGGGTCCGGACGAAGGTCTCCGCAATGGATGGCGCAACTAGGATGGTTTGAGGTGAGGGTTGGGGAACCTCCATCCTGAGTCCTTTTTGTTATAGCTAAATTGAAATGGATATAGACATTAGTTTTAAAAATCAATTTTCTATCCCCCTATCCAAGTATTTCCTCCCGGTTCACGAGTGGTTATGACCTGCCCTCAGGTCAGCTCAAATCCGCCGTTGCTATTTTCGCCTAAAGATCCAACCAGCCAGTGAGCTGGTGGCTAGAAACGAATATCCGTCTATACATACATTGAGGAAATAATAGTGCAATCAGCAGTCGAATGTCTGGAGAGTACGGAATCGTAGATACTCATCGTCGGCCATCGGCAATCGTTCCGTCCATCGACGTCAACATATTGCTGGATTAGGGCGGGGCTAACGGCTAAATACGCCAATGCCGAACGCGGGGAAACGAGAGCCGAAGCTGGCAAGTACAACGGTAGAGACTTATCAGATCAGAGGCAATACTCATTTTATGGGGAATTCACAGCAAATGCATGGCGGATATAGGATAAATATTTGTGTTCATGAGTTTTTAGAAGCTATTTGTAGTTGATTGGCTTCATCAGCGTTTTTGACTTTCAAGCGGAAACATATAGAGCAATCTAACCTGTTCCGCAGCAAGGTTTATTTATTGTACACATCTCATGCGCTAAAAGTGTCCGGGTATTTATAGTTCTACTTCTTCCCCAATGTCCATCTGTCTGCTTTCGTTATTGGCTTTTACCTCTTATCTTTGGCGACTTCAGCAGGTTTATACATATTTTTTTCCATTTTAATTTTATCGTGTACGGTGTTGTAGTATGAAAGCATAACCCCTAGATATATATACGTCAATTCTTCCCCAAGATAAAAACCTGCAAGTTAGTCAACATGGTGCATTGGAAAGAAATCGTTCGGGAGAAGCGCCGTAGCCAAGCAGAATCCATCCCTCCCGCGTGGCGATTACAGTCTATTGCCGAGGATTTCGTCAATTCCATAGACGTGATCGAATCGTGTGGCATCCTCTCGAGCGAGGAGCTGCAAATCACGAAGATCACCGATGCAGTCTCACTGTTGCACCAGATAGCAACTGGATCGCTGTCTAGCTTCGAGGTGACGACAGCTTTCTGTAAACGGGCTGCCATTGCGCATCAGTTGATCAACTGCTGTACAGAGATGTTTTTCGAACGTGCTTTGGAGCGAGCGAGGGAACTTGATGGGTATTTGGCGAGGACGGGGAATGTCGTTGGGCCGTTGCATGGATTGCCGATCTCGATCAAGGATGGCTTTGATATTGAGGGGATAGATACCACGGTTGGTAAGGCATCCCTTTGAAATACCACACCTATGTATTCTGCTCGATGTTCAAGGGGTGGAGTGGAAGGTATATATCATGTTACGTACTGACATAAAACATCTATCCAGGGTGGGCTGGGTTGATCGGAAAACCGGCAAAGAAATCCGGGAGCGTTGTTAGACTACTGCTTTCTTTGGGAGCAGTGCTCTATGTTAAAACGAATATACCACAGTCACTTATGGTAGGTTTTCCTTTATTGAGAAACTCGTGTCAATGTGATCCTGACATCTGCCGTGATAGATGTCGGATTCGTATAACCATGTATTCGGTCAATCCGTCAACGCCTTCAATAAACACCTCATCTCAGGGGGCAGCTCGGGGGGTGAGGGTGCTTTGGTTGGGGCTCAGGGCAGTATCCTTGGTGTCGGGACCGATATAGGGGGTTCAATTCGAATTCCCGCTGCGTTACAAGGGCTGTACGGGTTGCTCCCGTGCGTCGGACGCATTCCATGGGAAAAATCATCGTGTGTATTCTTACCTTTTTATCAGCGAGGAACATTCTCCGGCTTGTGTTTTAACCAATCTTGAATTTTAGGATGACGCAAATTTATATCGTACCGCCAGTAGCTGGCCCTATCAGCTATACCCTGGAAAACGTCGAAATGTTCATGAAAGCTGTAGTGTCTTCTCGCCCGTGGGAAACCGACCCAAGAGCATTACCCATCCATGGCGAGAGGAACTCACCAAGCCGCCCGCCAGACCGTTAAGGATAGCCTTCATTTTCGACGATGGGTTTGTGAAACCACAGCCTCCGATAACCCGAGCGCTGCGTGAAACCGCGGCTAAATTCAAAGCAGCAGGCCATGAAGGTAGAGTTTGGCAGATCGCCTCCAACCATCGGGTGTGAATAGCCATTAACTGTTGGTAGTAATCGAGTGGGACGCTTCTTCGCACGATGAGGGTATCAATATATGGCTGAAAGCCGTAATGGCCGATGGTGGAGAAGAATGCCGAAACATGTGTACGTTGGCTAACGAGCCCCTAATCCAGGGTATGCTTGTTGGCGAAGAGCGGGATAAGCTAAACATCTAGCAACGGCAGCAAGTATGTACATCCAAACTCCATTTCTACCCATGGTCAATTCAATAATACCACTATTTTTATTTTTATTATTATTATTATTATTATTTCTTGCTGCTGTGCCGGTTCCGAACCACTTCTCGAAGAAGCTAACCCAAGCCACAGCTCGATGTGCAGAAAATCGCCTATAGGGAAGCGTACCTTGCCCACTGGAACAGAACTGGTATCGACGCACTGATAATGCCAGTTATGGCCTGGGTCAATTTTAAACCGCGCACTTGGGTTGAAAGTAAGCAGTTGCTCGGCTACAGCGCCCTTTGGAACTTGCTCGATTACGCAGCCCTGACGGTTCCCATTACCAAGGTTGATCCTGTCATCGACGCACCGGATAGTGAGTGGATTGGGTACAAGGCTCGGAATGAATCGGATGCTTTTAATCATAAGCAATGTGAGTTTTCCTATATATGTATTTTTCCGCTGGTGTATTTCGGATCTATATCCTTGGATATACATGTTTGTGTGTGTATCGTTATCGCTGACTAGGTGATTATAGACAACGTAAATTTGGTTAAAGGAATGCCAGTTTCGCTGCAGGTCGTGACGGGGAGACACGGAGAAGAGAAAGCGATTTCGATTGCCAAAGTTATGGAGAACTTGTGAAATAGAAAGTGTTAGACGTTGTAGATTTATGTCAGAAGGATGCCCTCGAAGTGTAGATTTTGTGACCATTTCATTCACGCATGGGGAGTGGTTCCAGAAGTGTCAATTACTGCAAGACGTCAAGTGGGTTCATAGAACTTTAGAGTCGATATGGTTTTCTAGCTTGGATAGTTGGTAGTGAACACATGTATAATTCAATGGAATCAACATACAAAAGGATGAGGAAGTCATTCACGGGGGAAGGAAGGGCGAAGGAATGAGAGTGAGCATGGTAACGATATCCGATAGAGGCATCGTGGAGAGTAATAGGGAATAGAAATGAAATGAGAACTCTATAGATATGGGTAAAAGGGAATCAGTTCTTCTCCGCACTGCCGGCGCACTTCCGATGAATCAATATGCTATGCCGTACAAGAAGTTCCGCCGATGCCGCGAACCGGCGGCAAGATTCACAGTAGAAACGGATTTTTTCGATATGCTCTTCGAAACACAGCGCTGACTTTTAACCCGACCCGTTCGGGGCATATTCCGTAGTCGGTTCAAGGTGGTGCTAACTAGTAACAGTAACGGTATCTCGATACGTACTTCTGGAATTAGTTATGGATGATACCCTTCGTTTGGCAACGTTGAGCATCGCGATTCTGTAATGAGGATTCGAATATCCGCGATATAGGGACGTTGAGAAACTCTGGCAACACTTTCCAGCAGAGCAAGAAGTGCACAAACAAATAAAATACAAGCTTGCAGGCTTGTTACTATAACGTGTAGCGGGATCAATCACATATATGGGCCAAAATGAGACAACTATTAGGCCGAGAGGGATATTGCTCTCTTAAGAGATTCAGAGAGAGCGTGTGTGAAATAACAACAGGACCATGCAATTAATAAAGAAGAGCGCAAAGGGGGCATACAGAAATCAAAGTTCTGAGTAGATGTGGCTTGTCATCTCAGAGAGCTTCTCAATTATATGAGCAGCTGGAACTGCGCTCCTCCTGACTTCAGAAGTGAAGATCAAATGAAAGCAAACAGAAAGAGTGTTTGGAACACAATTATGGATTTCGTGATGCCCTGCGACATGATCAACAGGTGATTCCTTTTACTCTTGTTAATATACGGAGTAATAGTAATGTAGTAGTTACATATACGCGTAGCGTAGTATAGCGAAGAATAAGAATAAACGAACAAGTTGAAGAGAGAAAGATAAGATAGATAAGATAAGATAAGATAAGGTTTGCGAGGCCAAGCAAGTTGGGTTGGCAACACAGCCACGTGATCTTTCTTGGCCGAATATTTTTTCTTAACAAAAAAAAAATAAAAATGAATTCAGACCAAACAAAAACGCAGTGCTGATGAGATAAAAAATATAGTAGTCAACATCGGACTCTTTTAACACACTCTTATCAGACGCTTAGAGGAGGGCGTGTGAAATCCCATTTGGGAATATGTCTTCAGACGAAATCGTTTGGCAGGTTATAAACCAACAATTTTGCTCCTACAAACTTAAGTATGTTCCAATGCATCATCACCTGGCCATGGTTCCCGCTGCCCTATATGAAGGACTATACCTAACTTTTATCATTCTGCAGGACTACGAAAGGCCAGAATTTCTGCCGGAATGAATATAACGTGACCGGCCTCTGCAATCGACAATCATGTCCGCTCGCAAACTCCCGATATGCCACGGTCCGCTCCGACCCAGCAACGGGCGCGATGTACCTGTACATGAAGACAGTTGAGCGATCGCACATGCCCAGCAAGTGGTGGGAACGGATACGATTATCATCAAACTATGCAAAAGCTCTCGAACAGCTCGATGAGCGCCTGATCTACTGGCCCAAATTTTTAATCCACAAGTGCAAACAGCGTCTTACTAGGCTGACGCAGGTGTCTATACGGACGAGAAAGCTTATTAAGGAAGAGGAAAGACTGGGAGAGAAATTGGTTGCGAAGCTGGCGCCTAAGATTCGGCGGAGAGAGGAGACTCGTGAACGCAAGGCGGAGGCTGCTGCGAAGGTGGAAAGGGCCATTGAGAGAGAGCTGATTGAGAGATTAAGGAGTGGTGCTTACGGCGATCGACCGCTGAATGTGGAAGAGGGCGTCTGGAAGAAAGTCCTGCGTGGTCTGGAGAGGCAGGGAGAGGGCGAACGGGACGAGGACCTTGATGAAGGTATTGAAGAGGAGGAGGAAGAAGAGCAAGGTGTTGGCGAGGTCGAGTATGTTAGTGACATTGACGAGGAGGAGGACGATTTGGAAGACATGGAGGACTGGTTAGGTGACAGTGCAGAGGACGACGCGGAGGATGATGATGAGGATGGCGATGAGGATGACGATGAAAGTGAGGATGATAGTGAAGAAAGCAGTGAAGCAGATGAAACCCCGAAGAAGCCTGTATCTGGCGGCAAGCGGAAACGCGGCGTGGTTCCTCCCAAACCACGGAAGAAGGGTGGCCGGGTTGAGATCGAGTATGAGACGGAGGGGCCAGCGAAAGAGGGACTATTTGCTTGAATACAACTGCGATCACGGAGAAGCATTAGTTTAAGGCTATTATATTTTGTTTTTCTTTGGCTACATGGCGTTTAGGAATGGTGAATAGTTTTCAGGTGCCGGATGATTTTCTTATATAGAAATGGCTCTGATATGTTGGACACCTTCAACATCAAGTTATCATCCTGTTCACTGGAGCCTTATGTGTATTTATATAGATACCTTTTAACTGTTTCAATGAATCTCATTATTTAATTACTATCAGCCCGGCACTGGACCTCCATGCTTCACAGGCCCCTTCTGGCGCACTCAAAAAAAAAAAACCATACCGGAAGCATGTAGAGTTATTAATAACCGAACAGATATTTTAATAATAAAGATTAGAATATTAAATAACTAGATATAATTATGATTAAAAAATAAGTAAATTATTCTTATATTTAAAACTAAAAATAAGTTAACGAAGTGGCTGAGGTAAGGCTTGTATGGACATCACAGTATCACGTGCTGCGGCGTTTGGCTTTCCAAACTCCGAAAGTCCAGCATCAAAAGTCGAACAGATCGCACAATTGCAACATCACTCAGGCCTCCCGCTATTCAGACGAGCCTCATATATCACTCGAATACGGCGTGCGGGCTAAAGTAGATGGCGACACACTTGGCGCTTTGCTGTACCTGGCACTGACGCCCTCCTATCTCCGTTAGGCTGCCTTAACCCCTCTCCCCGTTTCACCTTCAAAGCATCGACTCTCCTCCCCCACCACGCAACCTTCAACCTCTCCTCGACAAATCTGCAAGCAATAGTAGGAGCACAATCAAAGCGGCGCAAAATAAAAGCACAAGGAACTCCTAATACCCATCCCAGTGGGGTAAACCAGCCATGACGTCCTACTTCTCTTCGTTCAAATCCTCCTCCGCAATCTCCAACTTCAGCACCCGTTTCAATTCTCTTCGCCGTGCCATATCCTCCGGGGACGAGACTGACGACCCGGACTCCGAAGACTGCTCTCACATATCCAATGTCCTGCGAGCCTACTACACCGAAAAGGGCCGCAGGCTCCCTCCCTGGCTGCCCGCAGACCCCAAGTCCCCCGCCCCTCCAACCCCAACAGTCGCCGTCGCAACCCAAGCCTCCTTCCAGGGATATGGTGGAGCAGCGCCACCGGGAGGACCCGCGGCCGGCGGTCGCGGTGCTGGTGGCGGCCTAGGTGATCTATGGGGAGACCCGTCACCGGCCAGACCGCCGCCGCAACACCAAACCTCGAGTCTGCGACTAGGCCGCAACCCATCACACCAACCCGCCCCATCATCCTCGACGCATCTCATGCCTTCACCTTCGAATGCGCCCACCCGGCCAGCCACATCGGCCTCCAGCTCACGTACCGCGGGCTCGTATTTTGATCGCCAGCAGTCGCGCACCCCTCCGCCTCCCACAGCCACAAGTGCCCGTCCGCTTCCCAGCCAGCGCGCGGGGTCCTACCAAACTTCCCAGGCTGCGGCCGCGCAGCAGCAGGGTAGACTGGGTACGGGAATCGAAAGGTCTACGTCCGGTGTGTCGGCCCAGGAGCGGCTCCGGGCAAGGCTGCATGGAGGTGCGGTGAGTTCATCACCTACCCGCACGCCGAGCCCTGGGTATGGTAGAAATGAGCCGAGTGGTGGCGGTGGACAGCCTTACACGGGGTCAAGCCGGCCGTGGGAATCTGGAGATCGTCACGGTTCTTCGACTTACGGTAGTGGTGGGGGTGGAGGGGGTGGAGGAGGCATTGGGAACGGGCTTCAGGGAAGACGGCTTGGGCAGCATCGAGGACCTCGATAAGGACACCTGTTCAGGTGTTGGGTTTTCAGTCCCTTCCGTCAGGATTATGTTTTTTATTCCCCTTTCCTATTGCTTAATATCCCTCCAGCTTCGGCGTTTAGTGGACAATTTGCGTCTCTTTTTTACCCCTTTATATAGCATTTGGTGACTTTTCGATGTTATGGCCCTGTGCTGTCCCGTTTTTCTTCCTCAGTTTGGTGCTGTGACTCTATGCGGGTTCTGGATGGTTTTTTGCTGGCGTGATGATTCTTTGTGGTATTTGCCCTCTCCGGTCTATTTTCTGTACATAAATAGGGATCCTGGAGTGGATATCGAACATAACTTGTCCAATATTATTGAGATAAAATCAAGGAGTACGAAGATCTACAATACCTTGTGTGGTATTCAAAATTGAAAATGCGGGTATGCTACGTGGAACACGGCTCAAAAACACGCACACGGTTGGTTATATAGGGATATGGAGAGAAAAAAAAAATGCGTTAAAAGTCAACAATTCTAGCCATTCCGTACGCCCGACCCAAAAGAGCAAAAACAAGTTATACAAAAAGAAATTTCGTCACATAAAAGACACCAGGGGGGACAATGACAACGTAAAAATGAATAAACCAAGACAAAAATTCGTAAAGGCACATCCCAATATCAGCCCCGAACCTTCCGATAACTAGGCGGGCTCCACGTCCTGCTTATCAGTTTCACAGCCCAGACGGGTACGAGGGCAATAGCCGCAACAACAATAACCCGCCACACCCATGCTAGAGTAACAACATACTTCAAGTCGAAGTAATCACCTAGGAAGGGCACGCTGGCCGCATAAACGATAGCCGTGCCAACAATACACAGGATCATGACGGGATGCCACGTGGTAATCGAAACAGCCACCATGACTAGCTCGTTCAGCACAAGCGCCGTGAATGAAACACTGATCAATTTCGGCCCCGTCACCTCCCCGACAAGAATCTGCGAGAGACCCTGGATGATTGAACCCTGGTAGACACTGACGAGGACCCAAGTGAAGAACGAGCGGTAACTAAGGCTGCGACCCGTTTTCAGCTCTTTGTATAGCTCCGGATATAAATTGGCTAGCTCCTCGTCAACATCGCGGTCTAGCACAAGTGAGAAAACCGGCGCGTTGGTGTAGACCGTAGCATAACCGACTAGCAACCAGTTTATAAACAGCCCCTTCGGATCGAAGCGGCCCGCAATGCTGTACATGGTCTGACAGGCGCTGATGATTAGACCGCGGTGCATGATAAACTGGGCAAGCTTGGCGGAGCGCTTATATGAATTCCGCCCATGCCACACGAGAAGTTTCGTCAGGTGGTGGAATTGGGTGATGCTGAAGTCGGCGGCGAGGGAGGCCTGCCGACCCTCCTTGCCGACAATGCCAATACCAACGTCTGCGGCTTGGATCATGGAGACGTCATTACCCCCATCGCCGATGCAGCAGATGCGCTTTTTGGTGTGCTCGCGGATTAAGGAGGCAATTTCGGCTTTCTGTGTTGGGGAGCAGCGGCAAGCAATCACGGCGGGGAGGAGGACGGCGACTGATATAAAGGGAGTACGGAATTTGGCGAGCATTAGAGTAAGTGATTCACCGTCGATAAGAAGGCAGGAATCTGTTTTATTTCGAAGGAAATCGAGCGTGTCCTGGGCAGATCCTTTGTCCTTTAGCTTAGTGACAGTGTGGATATATTGGCCTCTTGCAACAAGTTTGGCGGAAACTGCCACACAACGTGCTGTTTCAACTTTATCACCTGTGAGCATCCATATTTTCACTCCTGCGTTACGCAGGAGTTCGAGAGACGGTTTGACATCCTTCTGGAGCTTGTCTTCAACGCCTGTGACTCCCAAAAGCTCTAGATTTTGCTCGAGGTATTCTTGGCAAACCTTCGCCATTCCGGTGTCCCTGTTGTGTAAGGATAATGAGGCCTGTTTATAGCTAGTAGAAAAGTCTTGGTACTGCGCCTGGGAGAGTCTTTTCCTGCCAATGACTAGGGTACGAAGGCCTTCTCTTGCCATGTTTGCGGTCTCCTCGTCAAGCCAATCATTGGTGGCAACGATGGAAGACATAACGGTATCAGCACCTTTCTGGTAAAACCAAATCTCCTCATCCTGCGCTGCCGATTTGTCTAAATCAGAACCTTTCTTAAATTGAACAATAATGCCCATTCGCTTGCTCTCAGAAGTGAAAGGGAATATGTCCAGAATCCGAACCCGCACTACAATGTTGCCCGTATCTACTGATTTGAGCACAATTTTTTGCCTATCTCGGTGTACTAGCTGCAGGCCCACTTCCTGTGTATACTTCACGATCGCGATCTCATCGGGTGACGAGGCCTGGTAGGTTGTCATTTTCTCTCCATTTTGTTCGTCCGCTGTTGGAGTAACATTGTGACATAGCGCGAGAGCGAGGATTATATCTCTGACGCGAGATCCAATCTCTCGTCGTGTCCGAGTCGTTGAAGCCAAACCAGTCTGGGCACCATTTATGGTTGTTGGAGTGACGAGTGATGAGTGAGGTTCATGGCTAGAAGTGGCTGTAGAAAAGCCCTGTCGAAGATATGACGCCACTTCATCCATCGCTTCATTTGCATAGGACACTGTTCCGACATGGATTTTTTTGAGTTCCATTTCTAAAAGCATTGTTAGCTAGGGACTGCGCTGTAACTTCGACGAAAGTGTCTAGCTTACCATTCTGGGTTAGGGTTCCGGTTTTATCAGAGAGCAAGTACTCTATCCTACCCAGGTCCTCAGGAATAGTGCTGGTTCTGACAACAGTGCCCGGAATACCGGTATCCCGCTCGATAAACCTCCCATACACAGACTTGGCCATGTCGAGGTTAACACGTAAACTCATAGGAATAATCGTGGAAAAGAGGATTAGATATATCATGATAGCAATATACCATGGCTTGTCGTTGCTAGGCTCAAACCCTTGAAGGGCAACAAGAATGATGGAGAGGGATAGCGTTAAAATACAGAGAATTTTCGTCAAGCTGTTAATTTCGTATTCAAGCAACCCGACCTTTGAACGAGACGGTGACGTCGACATCGCCGATCGAGTTTGGGCTCCTGTGTAGATTATTGCGGCGATTGTTGTTGTGTTTGAGGCAAGAACTGTACTAGCCCAGGCAGTGTTGTCAATGGTAAGAGGAGCTGACTGAGGCTCGGAGAGGCTCTGATGGTGATCATCGGACGACGATGGGCGTGTTGGGGAACGAGCAGCCGGATCAGTTTTGTTGATATGAGGATCATAAGAATTTGGAGAATTTGGAGAAGGAGGTGTCAGCTCAATTGTTCCAACAAAATTATGCACATTCTTCTCAGGCTCGCCCGCGATGATCCGTATCCTCTGGAGATCTGAGAGAGGTAGATTTTGCGTGAGGGGAGAAGGAAGGCGCAATTTCCAATCAGTTTCGCCGTCCAGCTGGTCCGTTCGTATGAAGGTATCGCTTGACCCATCGATACCGTCAGCAGATTCATCAGCTCGCGGAGTTACATGGCAATCATCAGTTGATTCGGCAGCAGTGTTATTGTTTCTATCGATCAGCTCTCCAGGAAGGCTAGTATTCTGAGCAGCGGCCACTTCCGGTAGTGCGCTTTTCAAAATGACTACATCAGCAGGGAGGCGTTGATCTTTCCGTAGCTTCAAAATGTCGCCAACTCTCAAATCGCGCGCCTTCTTTGTTATCTCGAAAATTTCAGTTCCATGTAAATGAGAGCCCGAATCAGAAGTTGCCCGCCTGTTTCGGACAACTGGTTTTCGAGAAGACGATGGAGTAAATGATATGACAGTGTATTCTTCTGCATTTGCTTCTGCATCTCTTCGTCGTCGAGCAATGTCATCCAGTGCCTCCTTGCCCAGTGAAATCGATACCACAAAGGCCAGAGGGGCAATATAAGAGGACATATAACCGATTCTTAGAATGGGTATTATCTGCGATAATGCCACCAGAAGAAAGTAAATGTTAAAGAAAAACGAAAATTCATTGTAGAGAGTGCGGGGGAGGAAGCTCAAGGGGGTGTATTTGGCGTTTGATACGACATTCGGTGGATAGCGGGTTTGTTGTGTTTGCCCAACAAGCAATTTTCGTGTTGGTCTATGATCTGCGTTGGAATGCAATGGTAGATCGTTATATCCATCGGGAGTGTTATCAAGGAGGGACGAAGAGCCAAACCTGGGGAAGCGCAGTCTAGAGCTAAGCCGCGAGTATATGCTCCTGTGTGGAGTTGGGTTTAGGCGAGGCTGGCTGGGTCCATTGAGAAGAGGCATATCATCGTCAGCATATGTTGAACTCCTTCCTGAAAGCTCCTGGTTGCCACCATCGCGATCATCCAGCAAGCCACCAGTATCTTCTTCCCCATCCTGTCGCCTTGTCCTAGATGCACTACGGTTCCATATTCGATCTCGAGCTCCAGCTCGCAGGTGCCTCAACGCTATACCGGGCCCATATGTCGGAGCTATGCCAATCCCTCCTCTACTTTTTGGACTCTGCCCATTGTAGAGAGACACAGAGGCTTCTGGGTCAAGTTCATTGAGATCGAGGTCATCATCAGATTCGGCATCGTCGGACATGTCTTGCGCACTCGGCCGCGTGTATTCATGCATGCGTTCCATATTGAAAAGACGGAGGCAGGAGTATATCTGTGAAACGCCCGGCCTAATGCGGTCATGCCTATACTCCTGCCAAAATGTCAAGCGTTGAGTATAGATCAATCACCAATCAAAACTAATATAAACAATGGCGTGTGTCAAGGACTGGAATCATCAACAGCAGGCCAGATCGCAACAAAACCAAATCATCCTCTTCTGTTTTCACCGATAATCAGTTCTTTTTTGGAAGATGATGCCGTGCCTCAAGACAAAGGAGGTCTGCGCAGGGTATTCTTCGATCATACAAAGGTCCATGCCATGCACTGTCAATATCTGCCGTTGGGGTCGGTCCATGTTAAGCATGAATCCGAAACTGCTTGGATGACGGACAGCTGAAATGATATCACGTGGCTGAACAGGCGGCAGCCTGGTTTGGTGTGGCGCAGTGGATATTACTAGTGGTATGAGCACCGTAAACATTTATTATTACTAGCTCCCCGCTCCCCCACCATGGTAATCTGGGGAATTTTAAGATACATACCGATGACATAATCCCCCCAGATGCTGCTGAGCTGGCTACTTCGGCTCTACATTTCTCCGATACCGATTCCTCAAACCTGGCTTGTTTATGGCAAATCGGGACAACTTTTGGGACTTTGGACGAACAAATGTCTCTCTGCCTCAAGTGGCCCACGCAAACGGTTTTGTTATTCTTAATGTGGCCATGATTTTTCCCCACGCTCTTGGATTTTACCGTTGTTAGTGTGTGTTATTTCCACTTCTTTTTCCCAAGTGGCTGTGAGTTCATGTCGTGTTTGACCTCCTTGCCCCTTTTGCGGCATGGGCGTTATCTGACTTCGGAGCGGACAGGGTGTTTTCATTAGAATAGAATAGGGTACTCGAAGACTTGTCGTTTAGTGGCCCAGGATCTTGTTTTGGAATATCGACAAGGCCTCGAATCCAAGATGATTCAGCTAGGATCATGGAATCCTGCGTTGAGACCCGATAACAGCCCGAAGGAGCACTCTTTCCTATCGCTGGCGGACCCGAGTGCAGCGCCGTTATCCGCGAAGTTCTCGATGCCCTCGAGAAACGTACATTCGCCAACACCACCACTACCATCGTCCGCTAGCGAAGACTCCCCTGCGGAGTCTACGCATGCTGCACTTTCACCTGATCCATCACACAGTGTTTTAACAGGTGCGCGCGACATCGATTCGCAGATAGCACAGCCATCCTCTCCAGATGAACCGACGGAAACCTCTAAAAATATGCCCAGCGATGATATATCTGCCCCCGTTCACCAACCCGTACAACCTTCCCAAGCAGAGTCTCCGTCCACTGAACAAGAAACTACCAAAGAACCAGTGCCATCAGAAGGATTTCCATGGGGAAAAGATGACAACGCAGATTCCGCCCAGGGCATTTCACGGTCTACGACAGACCCATTTGATGGATTTGATATGACTGATCGGACCAATTCCTTCCCGAATTCGGACCACTCCAAGAACAAGAATCTCGACTCTCACGAGGGGGGTTACCCCGAGAATGCTATCAATCAAGAGGCTACCCACCAGCCGTTCGCAGTCGGAAGGAGTGGATATCCAAACTCGGATGCGCAAAATGACTTCTTGCCGTGGAGTGCGACAAGTATTGATGAAGACCCCTCCGGTCAATTTTTTAATCAACTTAATACTCAGACCAAACCCATTTACACACCGCTGGAAGCAGAGTCGAGATATGAAGAAGGCATGCCCCTGGATAATACAGAGCCAGCATCTCCGACTGACAATAACCAAGCCGATAGTATTGATGCAATATTCAGGGAAGATGAACCCGTTGACGACGCCGACCTTTTTGCTTCTGAGTCAGGCATGCCACTGTTTACCCGCAAATCAACCTCTCAAGTTCTTGATTCTTTACATTCTGACCAACCGCAAACCGCGGCTGCTTCCTCAAATGATGCAACACCAATTCCAAACAGGGCAGAACTTAATGACAACAGAATCAACGAAGAGCCACTTGCTGATAAAGAAGTCCCCGAGGAAGATTTAGCAGAAAGGTGGAAGGCAGTTCTTGACGATGATGATTTACTGATTGATGATGATTTGGATGCTCTACATACGGCCCAAGGAAGTCCACCAAATGGCACTTCCGAAGATTCCTCCGCTAATTATCTGTCAGAATATGCTCAAGACTCACCTGTGCCAACCCAACAGCCACCACGGGTGAACCCCTATACTCCTCATCAACCGTCATCCTCCACTGTGATTTCGGGCTTGCCTGGCCCCGATTATAGGCTGCTTAACGCCAATGCAACTGCTGGTGCATTTTCCCCTCAAGTCCAACAGCATTCGATAGGCCCCAACCCAAATATGCCTGAAAGCTTCTCCAATCAAGCGAAGGCCGGTTACCAATCCCCATATGATTTGCCGATGGAAATAATTCGACCGAAGCATCGCACTTCTCAGCCCACTGTCTCTCAGCCTCTCCCAGCTAGTACCACATCGATACAGCCACCTCCTCGCAAGAGCAGCATGACAGCAACTCGGCCTTCAAGTTCAAGCTCTGCCTATGCCCCTTTAAAACCTACACCTCCCCCCTTATCTCGCAGTGAAACAGAGAAAGCTCAGAGTAGCAACTTCTTCGAAGAGCTCCCGGCTGTGTCCAGGGTCCGTCCCTCAACCGCTTCCAAATATGCTCCTCCACAAACGGCGACGCAGCCAGTGGCTCCGCCACCATCTAATCATATGGCGCCTAATGTCCCGACCGCTGGCTTGGCGCGTGTATCAAGCGAACAGTTTCAGCTGCAAAAGCCTGAACGACTTGACCCCTACTCCTCTGTGTCTGTTGCACCAGGCCCAACTGTCTCTGGCCCATCTAGCCACTACTCCCCAAAGCCTCCCACATTACACTCTGGGTTTAAACCTGCCTCATCTCCAAGATACTCCCCTGCCCCACCTCTATCTAGCGGGCCTTCTTTGTGTAAATATGCGTCTCAGCTCCCAGCAGGGTACCCCCCTTCCACTATACTCCCTTTTCAACCGCGAACATCAAGCCCCCTGGCACAGCAAGAGAATGTATCCCGGCAATACCCGTCCACAGCGCACCAGCCAGCCGAATTTGCTCCTACTTCGTTCCCCGCGCCTTCTTCCTTTCAGCCTCCCGACCAAACTCTCTCTCCACCTGGCATCGGGCGGAGTCAAACCATGCCTTCCAATCAGCACCTACCCTACGTAGGCAATGGAACTAGACCAGGTTCCCAATTTACAGGTCATGTTGGTCCGCAACGTTCCCCTCCAGTTCGTAATACATACGAACCCGTTTCATCCCACACCCAAATTACTACCATGCCTTCTTATCCTCAGCCTCCACCCACCTCGGTTCCACACCAACAGTATCCCGAGCAACAACCCAGGCCACCGCGGAGATCCCAGACTAAATCACCAAGTAGACTCCAGTACGAACCCCTACTGTCAAGTGTGCCGGAACCGTTCCAACGGCCTGCATCTGTCCACAATCCGGTAACATCTCTACAACCCCAAGTCCACCAAGCAATCAAGGAAACCCCTTCTACGGAGCTAGATTTCATATATCCAACTGATGGACAAGAACATGATCCACTTCAACGATGGAAAGGGGCACCAATATTTAAATTCGGTTTTGGTGGAGTAATTGCCAGCTCCTTCCCTAAACGTACCCCCAGATATGCAACTGGTCAACTTGTTCCAAAGATAAAGCCATCCCCTGGGGAAATCAAAGTCCGCTCAATGGGTGATACTTTTTCGCAGAGGGAGCCAACTGTGAAGTTCCCAGGACCTTTGAGGGTGAAATCAAAGAAAAAAGATGTCATCTCATGGCTATCCTCTATGATTTCTGGATTCGAAAATGATAGCACCTCTCTAAATAAGTCATCTCCGCAGCAGCACGACGAGACGATCCTTCTTTGGAAAATCATACGGGTTATGGTTGAACATGACGGGCTTCTAGCGGGGAATCCAGACGTTGAAAATTCCGTGCGGTCCATTCTATCTCCTCTTCCTGAAACAGCATCAGCGTCATCGGAGGCTCCCGTTTTCCATCCACAGCTTTCGAGTGTCTACGAAAACATCAGTGGAGAGGCTCAATCAGAGCCGATGAACGTAGATGGAATGGAAACAATTCGTAGATGCCTTCTAGCCGGTGAGAGGGAAAAGGCAGTCTGGGGAGCCGTGGATCGCCGCTTATGGGGTCATGCCATGTTAATATCCTCAACCATTGATAAGTCTGTTTGGAAGCAGGTAATGCAAGAATTCGTTAGAAGGGAAGTCAAAGCAGTTGGTAACAATACCGAGCCGATGGCTACGCTTTATGAAATTTTCGCAGGAAATTTGGAGGAGAGCGTCGATGAGTTAGTGCCACCGTCTGCCCGAGCCGGTTTGCAGATGGTTAGTAAAATTGGGGGTCCTGGTCACGCGAAGAACGCCCTGGCTGGGCTTGATAAATGGCAAGAAACGTTGTGCCTAATTTTAAGCAACAGAAGTCCTGATGACCACGTTGCACTTCTTTCCCTCTCTAGGCTTCTCTCCGCCTATGGGAGGATAGAAGCTTCCCATATCTGTGCATTATTTGCGAAATCCGCCTCCGTACCTCTGGTATTTAGTGGCCCCGACGATCCGCAGTCCCAGATTGTTCTTCTTGGTACGGACCACCGCCGATACCCATTTACCTTCGCCAACGACAAAAATTCCGTCCTTCTTACGGAGGTGTACGAGTTTGCGCTGTCCATATTATCCGGCTCTACAACATCGATAGCACCGCATTTCCAAGCCTTCAAACTTCAATATGCACTTTCTCTGGCCGAAAATGGCAACAAAGCCGAGGCTCAGCAGTATTGTGACTCCATCGGAGCAATCCTAAAATCGACAACAAAACCTTCACCATACTACAATCAACGGTTCCTCTTCGAACTCGACGAGCTTACCAACCGCCTAAGGCAATCTCCTACTGGTGGCTCTTCTTCATGGATGTCCAAACCGAGCATGGAGAAGGTCTCGGGGTCCATTTTGGCAAAATTCAACAGTTTTGTTGCTGGTGACGACAGCGACGGCGGCTCCACCGGATCTGGTAAAGCAGGAGATGTGGACATTGGGCCTTTTGCTAAGATGGTTGGTACTCCCCCGATCAGTCGCTCACCTTCTGTCCATGATGCCTATGCTGCGTTCGGGATTGGTCAACCCACCACCACCACCATGCATACCACCTCTCGTTACGCTCCCGGGAACCAATATGCTCCTTATTCCTCTCCAGACCAACACCGTGGTCGTGGATCTCTTGATTCACAAAGATCCCCTCCTTCTACTAGCCATTCTTACCCTCGGGGCGCCGCTTCTCGGGAACTGAATAGGGGTATGGAGAATGACTACCATCCGATCGCACAACAGAATGTTTATAGCCCCCCTTCTATTCAGGCCAGGGG